AGGAGCTAAAACCCCCTTTTCTGCCAGCGCATCAGCAGCCCTATTGTTCTCTCTCAAAAAGTATATTAATTACATCTTTAATTTGTGTATATACATATTAGAAAAACCCAACTATAAGCTGATCAAAAAAAAAAAAAAAAAAAAAAAAACACTACTTCACTCGGTGTCAATTAATTTTGGATCAAATATAAATTTTATATTAAAATCCATATATTTAATTTTTATGAGGTAAAAGATTTAAAAAGAAAGATGCAAAGAGAATCCAAATCAAAGAAAAGAGAAAAGGGTGGGAGAACTATAGGTAAAAAAAAAGAAGTAAAAATTAAGTATACGAGTATCAACGTAAAATTTACATTTAAGTTAAAATTAATTCATTTTTCACGTTTTCTTATACACAAATTTAGTATGAATTTCGTTTAGCATGTTTTGTGGTTTAATGATTGTCCACTTAAATGCGTAAATTAAGACAGCATATCCTGAGTTTTAAACTCAATATTTACTTTCCTCCCCAATTCAATTCTCAACGTTCAAAAAAAAAAAAAGGGTATGAATTTCAAAGTCTCATCAAGTGAAAATAGAGTTGGCAGGTCCTATCAAATGGAAAAGAAGTCCAACCTTTAACATTATATGAAAATTAAATATATAAATTTTAATGTAAAATTTATATTTAATTTAAAATTAATTAAAAATAAATGAAGTAAGTTTTTTTATATTTAATTTAAGATTATTTTTATTATATCCTTAATATTAAATTTTTTCACTCAACAAAATAACAGAAAGAAAGACGAGGAAAGCCCCCGACAGCAAGTATTCATTTTCAGAGCTAAAGCTCTACAAAGCGAGAGCGGAAGTGTTCGCACTTTTACGCAGCTCAAACCGTTACCATATAAATAAATATTCCTCAAAACAATAATTTCTACAATAAAATTACGATTTCTCTACCGACAGCAAGCCTTCATTTTCAGAGCTAAAGCTCTACACAGCGAGAGCGGAAGTGTCACACTTTTATGTAGCTCAAACTGTTACCATATAAATAAATACTGTTCAGAACATTAATATCTACAACCAAATTATGATTTCTCTACGCAGGCGGCCATAGTTAATTGTTCAAGCTGATCGCTGTTAAAAAAAAAAAAGTTCAAGCTTATCACAAAAGTATAATAAACTTACAGAGAAGATGAGAAGAGATGAAAAGAATTGAGCCCTTAGTTCCTCCTTGAGCTGAAGCTTTTGTGAATTCGTGACCACAGCAGCTATCAAAGACAGATAAAAAGCCTCTACTCCTACTATTTATAATCTTTATCTCTATGACCTTTCTGAAGACTTTTTAAACAAAAGTACATATAATAAGATAATTTCAAACACGTGGGCAGTGGCTGAGCCACATAAAGGCAAACCGGCCCCTTACAATTCTATCGAATCATCTTCAATTTCATTGATTATGACCTCTCAGCGTGGGTGGGTGAGTGTTCAAAAGTGAGGGTCTACAGTCGTCTCCTGCACTCTCCAGTCAACATATGCTTGGGCCACGTAAGCTTGTTTCTGCTATGAAATGATTACATCTCCTGAAACCAACATGACGTGGCCCGATGAAAATGGAAGTGTTGGTTGGAGGGTGCAAATGGCAAGTATTCCTAGCATTGCCTTTTTTAAAACCGCGCAACTGCCTTTATAAATTAATGGTTAAGACATTTAATATTTTGGTAATAATTAAAATTTAAATTATAATTTAATTAAAATTTTTTACCTCTAACCCCTGAAATTGCATCGGTTTAAAAAATAAAACTTATTAGACAACGTCATCCTACTTTAAAAGAAAAGAAAAGAAAAGACAATTGGTTGGAACCGAATTACAGCCGTGTCTGGCTATTATTCTTTATGTTAAATGTGAAATATAGTTTTTAAAATTTCAATTTTAAATAAATTTTTATTCCTTAATTTTTTTACACTCTTTTTATCTTTTAATTTAAAAGAATATTTTTTTTTTACCCTTTTATAAGTTAAGTGTGAGGGTCCCTGTCACATTTCAAACTAAAAACATCTTATAATTTACATATTCACACTTTAATTTTTTAATTTTTTTTATCTGATGAAAATTGATCAAAAAATACATATTTTATATCTCCTACAATTGATTTACCTTTATATGACAAAGTATTTTAAAATTAGAGAAAAGATGTAACATAATTAGAGAAAAAAGAAATTGATGGTTAAAATCAAATATTTATTCATATTGAGAAAATGCAACAAAACACAACATTAAATACCTCTATACAATCAAATTTTGTATTTAGAAAAATCACTAAAACAAAAACAACAATGAAAAATTTTTCTCATAAACATAGGGACTTTAAATAGTAGACACTTGACTTTTCAAGTTCTAACTTCCATTTGTTTTCTTTTCTATTTTTGAATATTTAAATAGCATTACTTCTTAAATATTACTAATCAATATGCTGAATTAAAAAAAAAAATAGTCTTGCATCTTCATCTACAAAAGAATGAACCAATCTTTTCAATATTAATATTAATAATTAATAATTAATATACCATGCATTTAAATTATTTTCAGTTACCAAGGCAAATACTCATTGTTCTTCATTTGATGATTAGACATGGAATAATACCATAATAATTTATAATTGCCATAGTATTAATTTTTTATTATAAATTTATTACTTTCTTCACATTAAGTTATTAAAACAATTATAACAGTGGTTATATTTTATAACTTTATGGTTGAAGATAAATATAAAAGCCAACATAAATCATAATTTGGTTGATAACGGAATTTACTACTATTCATTTGAGGGAAGAAAATGAATAGTTTATTTATA